AAATAAAATAAAATAAAATAAAATAAAATAAAATAAAATAAAATAAAATAAAATAAAATGACTCGTTTAATTTAATATCACAATGCAAAGACGTTCACAGTTATTAATATTGTTGGGAAAATGCCACAGAAATTACATTCCATATTTGGGTCCAAGTGACAGGACAGGGCAGTGTGGCAATTTTTTGTATATAATATTATGCCTATCTCGGTGTCACGGTCGACACTACGTATCTCAACCAAGGTTCCCTCAAAGTCGTATCTATTAACAAATGTAACGTTTTTAATTGGCCGCTAATTGATTTGTCAATCCGATGCACTACTCCACATTCGATGTTAGATGCAGTACTCACGTGGGAGTACATACTTATGATTTGACTAATTTCTGAGACCACTGTAACAACACATCACGATTACACAACGGAAATACATATCATGCTCTGGTGACTCATCACGCGCGAGCTATGTCAACTGATTGTTGGGAGATTGACCAAGTGTAGAGCAGAGAAGATCTTATCGATTGATATTCGTTGCTCAATATTGTACTGTGAAGATTGTACGATTTTTGACTGTGCACTGACACCTTTGAAATCAATACCACCTGAGATACATTTGGCGTCCTTTCATTTAATTGATTCTTATCTCACCAATGAAATTCTAAGAAGGGCAATGATGTACTATGATAACCGATCACCGGAAACAAGAAATATAGAATCTCCCATCTCTAGTCACTAGATATATAGAAACACATTTAACTGAATCTGAAAATCAGGTATGGCTAGCTGAGATTTGTTGCTAGCTAAATATGATTGTGCATGTAATCAGCGCTGACTTACACTGAGTGGTACACCGTAATATAAACGCCAAAATAATATGTAACTATAGAATAAGCAAATTAACAGATTCAATTAAACAGGCCACACAGGTATGGTATAAAGGTAATACAATCTATATATTCAACCCAATAGTTATTTTTGTTTTATTAGAAGAGAAGAAGTTTGCCGCTCAAGCCAAAAAACTTGAAATTTGGTAAGGTTTGTCGGGCTCTTTTAAAAAAAATTACTGATGCGTTTTTTCATTCATCACTGACTCTAAAGTGAATATATTATAAATACATCAATAAATATATACTATTTTTCCTTCATTTTGTATTTTCATATGTTTTGCGTGTCATTGTAATGTGATTTTCTGGTAAAATTTATTTACTGGAAAATATTAAATGTCTGCTTTTATTAAGATAAGAAAAACTGTTTGTCTTATTTTGGGCGGCCAATAGGTTGCTGATAAAGATTCTTTCGTGGCCGATTCCATCGCAGCTTAAAATCAATCTTAAAACAGTCACTGAATGAATTCAGTATCAATATTGAAAAACCAATATGTGTTACTAAGATCGCAATACATGTATCACCCGTGCACGGCAAACAAGGATATTTGTATTTTTGGCACGCGCCCTCAAGCGGCTTCATGTTTCTATGTTCTTGTTGAGAAGCACGTCACCGATTATTCAGGGAATGGCTTCATTGGTTTCTTGTTTCGTGAAATAGTAACTACTACTTTTTTTCGCATGTTTACACACTCAGATAATGAAGTAACGCGAAACGAGTGTACTCATATATGACGTCACGAGTGACGACATCGGGTAGAACACGATACCGTAAAAAAATAATTAAAGGTCGAATCGAGAGAAAAACTCTCGTGTTGAATAATAATGTTGATCACACACTGTGAGATCATTGTAAACTATTGTTATATTTATATTTACCAGTCTGTTGTTTATCGGAAATATATGCTTTAAACAAAACTGTGCGTCATTTTAAGATTACGGCACCTATGCGCATGCCCGTACACAATTGTAAATACAATATTGAGTACGACAAGAAATCATACCGTCATGGACAACACCATGCAACATACACACACGTACAATATTATTACATTGTAGAGCAATATCGATTACAGAAACTTATTCGTACAGTCACTTTTTTAACAACACGAACATCGCATAGCACACAATATGGTGATTAATTAATTAATTTTAATTAATTAATTAATGTGTTTTAATTACGCATATATCTGTTTCCAGAATAAAATTGGTTAACCAGGGATTTTACAATGTACACTGCCCTCACACATCAACGTTTGGCGTCAGTACCTTATTTCGATGTTGCGCCCTCAAATGTAATCCAAACGTACTGACAGAAAACAGTAATTTGTACGTAAAATGTTTTGTTTAATTCACCAAGCACGTAACTTATTATTGGTACAGTATTTACTGTTAGCACTTTATGCACATTTCGTGCATTTACTTGCTTGAAGGGCGTTGGTCGTCGAGTCGCGTCGCGCCGTAATTCAAATAGGATTCATAGCGACTTACACAACGCGTGTAAAATACACTGTGCGACGATCATCGCTCTTTAAGACACGGGAGCGGGGGGTCGTTACCTGCGCACACGACAGGCGGTCATAGCATGTCGTTGTTTACAAATAATAAGTAGCTACCCATGAACCTCTACGTTTTCAGCATGCGTTGTTATTAGAATTTAATTTCCGTGCGTAGGCAGGTGATGAACCCTTTGCTTTAAGTGATTACCTTGAATTACTAAACAACTGGAAACATGTGTTTACGATCGGAGCCATTTCCGGTTGTCCAGTCATACTAAACATGTGAAACTGCTGCATTTTTGATTTCCGACATGATGATCTACGACATGGTATTTTATGCGACAGGACGACAGATATGTTGAAACGTTTGAACACTATCAAAGGCGCCGATTTATAATCAGCGGGTAACTAAAACGTTCTAAAGTTGATTATTTAGCTCACAATTTCATATATCGCAATAATAACGTAATTAAGAGAAGGCAAATCTTTATCTGTATTACTACGTATAGTTAAAATGATATCTGACAATGCCGACCGCGGCCAGATCTTCCCCAAACTCTAGTTGAGTCAAGCTTATATTATTACATTTGATATGTGGATAAAACCTTTCAACAAAGAAACAATCCTTAATGTTAAAAGAAACATTCCTTACAAATATTGGGAAACATTAGGTATGGCTCTATCACACACATTCGTGTTTGTGTGTTCGTGCATTGATCCAACCACTGACCAACTATCTTCTGATTGCGTGACTGCACTACACTCAGTCTGTAAAGCGATTTAAAATATGACACATTTTTGTTCCGACTTTAAAATCACTTTCATAATTAAACACATTAAGTGTTTTTTCTTAAAATCGCAAATGATTTATTTTAAAACGCTACTGTTTTAAAATTAGGCTTTTTTACTGTTTTGTGATAACACATTTTAAGTGTTTACAAGCTTGTTCCCACTTTAAAAACACTTAAACTTTTTATAAACTGCATAATTACGAAAAGTGTAGTCAATGCAGTCAGTGTTTTTATTGAATTTCGTGGGTGTTTTTGCACATAACACATTATGTAAAGTGTATCTACCAGAAACATGTATAAAAAGTGTTTATTATCACAACATTTTAAAAGTGATTTTATTTGACACACATTTCGAGAAGTTTTACACCTGGAACATGTATTGAAAAAGTTCTTATTATCACAACAATTTTAAAAGTGTTTTTACAAGACAAACATTTTGTAAAGAGTTTATGATCACGACACGTAGAAAAGTGTCTCACTCGATGACATGTTTTAATGAAGTGTTTACTATGACTACTCTGTGAAAATTGTTTTCAATAGACACATATTTTAAAATTTTTCCACCATAAATATGTACAGAAAAAGTGTTTATCATCGCAATACTTTGAAAAGTGCTTTCACGCAAAAACGCAATCTGAATATTGACAATTGCTTGCAACAGGAACACATTTTAATAAATATTTCCACTGATAACATTGTAAAAAAATCGTTATCATTATCATTTCAGAAAGTGTCAATGAGCAAAATATATCAAATGATGCGTTTCACTATTGCACAGTAATCATAACATACGATTAGCAATATAATGAAGTAAGTATTTATTCCTAAATAACATCAATAAGGCAAGTTTGAGCATAACATTTAAAAAACAGACATATGTAGTTGATGTGAAAAATAATATCAATCGCATAAAGTAGTGTCCTCGACCTCTGTACATGTGCAATCAAATACGTGTATTTACTGAAATTCAAACTTTTGGTGTAGATACAATACCCAATAATTGTGAACATTTACAATTCAGATGAGTAATGAACTAAATCATCTTCAAACATTTTTTTCTTTTACACAAACGGTATTGTTGTCTCGAATGCAGTCTCTCCGAGAACATCAAATTCCTTGGGAAAAACAAAAAAATAGTGGAACAAATATAAAAGTCATTAATTTTAGAGAAACATGTTCCCTTGCAATTACATTTTCACTCTATCCTCGAGTTAGCATATATACATTTATTCATATAAATCCATTCTATTTCATTCACCTTTCACTGTTCTGTGCATCAAATGGTTTGATTGCTTCTTTTCACCAATTTTTCACGACCCCCTAAAACGGAAAGTGTGGTATTTTAAAACTATATTTATCTAAGCAGAGTTCTTCTGGCATAGAGGACGAGGAAGCTGAACCAACAATAACCCATATTAACAGGACAAAATTAATTCATAGTATTAGCAATATCATCTTGTTCGCTACGATCTTTTCTTTTGAAAACTGAAAAGTATTATATTATTAAAATCCCGTGAGTAACGTTTAATTAATTATCATTATTGTTTTTTTAAGCAGTGCGATATTTGAATCAGAATTATGTGATGTAAAATTGTTATTATAAAGTAATGCACATGTCAAGGGAAAACGAAAATATGACCACACACCATTAACATTTATTCTGCCTAAATGTCCTGTAAATGCAGGAAGTTTAATAATTAAGTTATCCCGCACATAATGAAAGGAATTAAGACTGCTGCAAATAACAATGCAGTACACAACTGTCGACGCTGGCTCTATCAATTACACTTTATACAAGTTTCGTATCGGAGTAACAATATCATCATACCTTCAGGTTTGTTTAGGATAACTTCCAGTTCCCTTCTTCCAGCAGAAAATCTATAAGGCATCATCCGGTACAAGTTGTTGTTACTTCTTTAATGAACATGCCATCTGTCAACATACTCTCAATAGTATAATTCACTCATTGAATGAGCGTGCACATAACACAAGTTACCAGTTACTTAAACACAAAACATAAAATAGTGTTCATCGTAAACACCCTCGTTTACGAAAGGTAATTAGAAGTGATTGCAAAAAAGTAGCAAACTAATTTATTGGTCAATATTTGTTTTATTGTTGTATTTATTGTATTAAATTTCTAAATAAAAATTAAATGGTCACGTATTATTAGGAGCTCGCTTAGATTATACGCAAATGTTCACAGGTGTGTGGCAATCACCTTATTAGAATTCAATATTGTGGATAATAATTATGAAGAAAATGAATCTAATCATTATATCACATGGAATTAACGCCTGTTTAGCGCTGAATCATCCAACTTAATAACTCGAGCATTGATAACAACACCGTGCATGTTTAAATCCATCGGTTATTAAACTTGTAACAGGTACTCGGTATGCACACTCCCAAAATACATGAATTTATAAATCGAGACGTGTGTGAGCAGTCGATAATAAACATTGTGTCTATTATAGATGCATACCATAGACGGCATACAAAAGTGATCTGTTTATGGACACTTATATAGTTGGATGTTTTATGATGAAACATTGCATATGTGATACCTTGAACGATTGCATGTGTGTTTATTTTAGGAAGTGCTTCATGTTACCTAAATTTGGAAGAAAGGTTTTTTAGTTACTGTCATGAAAACTTTGTGAAACATTTATAGTCTTGAGTTTCGGGTTGAAACATGGTTGGCGACTTTGCTTTCTGAGGTTTTCCCAATTGAACAGTTTAAATCACAAGTGAGAATGCTTAGATGTGATTGGAACTACAACCACCACTCACCAAATCATAATCCACTATGCCACGAGGTACTTAATTCATCACGTGTCTCGATATCCAGTTGTACTTATAGGTTGGTAAGACCATATAAGCGCACATAACATTCATTAATTCTTCCACAGCCTGGTGATTGACATAACATTGTTTTCTGAAGGTAATGCCATGACCATTGTACGTTGAATTACGTCACCTTCGGTGATTTTCTAGTTTGCATATATACCATAACGTTCACTCACGCGTTCACAGACTTTTCACTCAATTATGTTTAATACTGCTTGCATAAAGTTGGATTCATTAGTCCATACATGTTTTATCAATTAATCCTTTAATGACAAATTTATTCCCCCGTAATATAATGTTTTAAAATGCAACAGTGTGCTTTCAATTAAAACCATATGTTTTAATGAAAAACTTGAAAGTGCTCTCAAGATTAACAGTGTAAGTACTAATTGACCAATAAGATCGCGGCTTTTCAATAGTGGTCTCCGCATGGTAATATAATGCAGCGTAGTGATGAGCTTTGTCGTTTAAGCGAGTTCGCGCATTTATACGTTCTTAACATGTGTGTAATTACACTTGATATAATAATTAATAATATTAATGAAATTATTGTAGTACTCGTAGTGTGTTGAACCATTATGATTAAATTACACAGGAATATCACAAGGGTAATTTCTGTCCAACAATACGTAACCCACAGCTTTACGCTTTATGCCATTCGTTGAAATCAAACTGTCAATGTCACGAGCCTGACGAGCGGGCAGCCAAACACAGATGTGCAACAGTAATCTTCACGAATTCTAACAGACACAAACGAGTCTTCACTTTGTAGTAATATACATACCATCTCTGGAGACAGCGGGAAATCAAAAAGTAATAAATGGAAACAAATGCGGGTGCCTCTTTTTTTAATTGTCATTTATTTTATTGAATATTTCAGCGATTTGAATTGCTATTTTGATATTCAGATGCGTCCATACTCAGCATGTTCGCCCGAATTCAAAAACACAGCAGCACTCTTGAGACAGAAAATGAGCCTCGAATTTCAGAATAATCCATGAATATAAAGTCATCGTGGTTGTAAAATAATTCCATCTCTTTGTTAACAAACAAAACTGATGCGAACATTTTGTGCAGTGATTATCGCATTATTGGTATGCCGGAATTTCTTATTGACACCTTTGTCGAGTTTGGGGGATATATTAAAAAAAAACTATCGGCATTTCAATGGGGATAAATTATGCTACGATGATGGCTTGTTTAATCCTTTATTTGTATAAACCAGAATTTCTACAGAAATTAGTTAAAAAATCAAAATGTAACATTTGATGAAGTACATTCTATAAATAATCCTAAATGTAGGGATGATATATACAGTTAAATTTAAGATTAAGGGACAATATAATCTGATTATTTTGCTTCATACTTGAAACTGTGCATTGAATTTGACTCCGAGAGTAACCTTTCTACCAGAATATATGATACCAGAGAAGATATAATTTAGTATTATCCATTTCACACACCTTTGCAATATCCCATTCTCATTTAGAATGCCTGGGAATGTAGTACATACATTCTAACTATTAAACCAAGAGTGTTGTCACGTGACTGATGTAGACTTCAGATTTCATACCGAAAGCATTTGGATATGATTGATATATGGCGGCTACCAGTACTCCCACTTTATATATATATGCGGTCCAATATTGAAAATTGATTTGACTATGTTGTGTAGTGTACTTGTTGGTTAATTGTTTTGTTTTGGTGTTGTGGATTGTTTTGTTGATTGACAAACGCGAAGGTATTTCCATGCTTAGGCATGTGCTATACACATTAACGATAAATCGTCCATTGCTATGACCTTACAGCTTTATGTCACTGAGTAACCTAAGCATTCATGCTAGACATGTGTAAATGTATTCGTCATTTACGGGGATAAGCTTTTATAACCATGGTTATCACTACATTATATTATGGTTTATTAAATCAATATGTTTTACTAATACAGTGGTAACACATTTATTAAACTCTTTCATTTAGTACCTTTGTGAAAGTATTGAATAAACCTTTCTATGTAGAATATATATAATCTTAGTGTGAAAAACAGTGTACTCCTATTAACCTTTCCTGTCACGCACAGGGCACACGCACGCAATATAAATGTGAAATGTTTTTTAAAAAACACGGTCGTTGTACGTCGCTATTATGTGTGTATTTGTTTTCAGGGCGTCGATGCGATGTGATTCGATCCGATATTTTTAAAAAATGATAAAAAAAAGGAAAAGAAAGTTTATACAAAACATCAAACGTTGTTATTATCCTTTGTCGCTTCCGATTAACTGTTTGTACTATTTGATGAAGAATCGTACAATTCTATG